CTCCCTGAGGAGTGGTCCTGGAGCCTCCAGCCACTGCTGGGTAGATCCTGGAGGGCCCAGCCTGCTGAGGTCCTGAGCTGCAGGAGGTAAGTTGGGATGATGGGTTCCCTGGACCCTTCCCTCTGAGTTCTATCAATCCCCCACCCACCTAACCTACCTAGTTCTGGACTGCTGGGAGTTTTGTCAACCTGAGCTGGCAACAGCATTCCAGCTGACAGTACGCCAACCTGGCAGGGGCTCAGCCCTAGGCCACTCATAGGTTGAGTTTTATTTCTGTTGGCCTTTTAAAAAAATTTAATTAAACATGTTGAGAATAAATACCATACAGGCATTACATTTGGACACTGCCCTCAAAGACATTTTACAGACACACAAGCACTGCGACACCCCTACTCTGCCCATTGTAGCCTGTCTGGTTGCACAATGGTGGAGCAGATCTGGGTCTGAAGCTTGGCCCAGCCAGCACTAAGTGACCCCTGCAATGTGTGATCTGGATCCCACAGGACACCTAAAGGCTGACTCTTCTGCATGTGTGGAGCAGGCTGCTGGGGTCTGTCAGAAACATCCACAGGCTCTCTGGAGGCAGAGCTGCAGACCTGTCTCACAGCAGGACTGCCAAATTGGAGCACGGGCATTGAGGAGCATAAACATGAAAGTTCAGACAGTGCCCAGCTAGCATAGGACTGTCTCAACCTTACCTTGGCAGTGCCCTCAAAGGGGCCTGGGCAAGAAGGATCACTCAGCGAGAGGGCAGGGCTTAGGGGAGAACCCTCTGGGACTGTTTCCTTCAGACCTGTGAGTACCAGATGCCTTGCTGCTAGTCAGCAGGACAAAATCCTCTCAATACTCTGGGCTTTATCCATGCTCTTGCCTGCTTTTTAGGTTTGATTATCTATTCTTGATGAGAAGGAACCCAAGCAGGAAATGTTAAAACCGTGTCCAGGGTTGGATGGAGGATCTGGTGGCTGTTGTTAGTACAGAAGTGCTGCCGTATGAACCATCCAAGCTTTGCCTTAGTGCTGACAATGGCACTTAGATCAGCTGGTGTAAACCCCTGGCCCTGTGCCAGACTATACCTGGTAAATGTTCTTGGGGACATGTCTCTCAGCAAAGGGGTCCAGGGAACAGTCTCAGTGGGCACAAAACCTTCAGAAGCTATAAGAGCAGGCCTGTTATCTGGGTAAACTGTTAACTTGAGAAAAGGGGGTCTGCTAAGATGGTGACATGGGTGGAAAGAAAGGGCTGGGTCCCTCTGCTGAGTGTCTCCCCCATCTCCTAGTAAGAAGAAAGGAGAAACAGGCCAGAGATCTCAGAAAGCCACAGGCTCCTAAGCCAGGGGCCTTCCCTGAGGCTGGGGAAAGCTAGTAAGTGAAGTAGGCATGCTGTTGGTGGGTCTGAGCCACATGCAGTAAGAGGAGGGGCTGGTGGGATGGGTGGTAGCCAGGCAGCTGGCTGGGCTGGCTAGGAGGCATAAAGCGAGGTGAGCTGGGGCCAGCTTACCCTGAAAATCCCCCTCACACGTATCCAACACTGCGTCACTCATGTCACACAGCTGCAAGAACATAATGATAGGATTCGGAGAGAGGAACAAACAGGATGAAACACATGTAACAAAAAACACTACCCATGTCACAGTCCCAGAAAGGTCACACCGACTACAGGTTCTACACTGTCAAAGACCTATACATACAAGACACACAAAGGTCTGCTGCCCAAAGAACATTAAACAACAGGCATTGGGCAGGATATTACCTGCGTCAAAAGGTCAGACATTCAGCCTAGGCTATGGCAAGTGCGTGACCTGTGTCTCACAAGCTATAAGGCACTGTCCCTTCTTGCCTGCTGTTACCCACCTACCACTTATGTCATTGTGCCCTTTTCTGCCTTCTTGAATGACATCACTATTTATCCTACGTCTTGCAGAATGGGTTTCCTTGTATCCCTGCCTGGGAGTGAAGTGCTGAAGGAGCAGCCCCATGAGCTGCCTCTGGCCCGTGCCCTCTCTGGGAGCAGGTGTTGCCTTCCACAAGGACTCATCTGGGTCATGCGCTCCTGTAGCACTCACAGGAGGAGGGCACTGGCTGCCTGGTTCGGGACACTCCGTGGGTTTGACTGAGCTACAGAATGGGTGATAGCAGCTATGTGCTCATATTGATCTCTTTCTAAAGTACAGAAGCCAGGTCACAACTCCTGACCCACCACAAACACTTGCTATTTGACTAGCATTTGTGCTGGTAGCCAAGAGCTGGCCCCCACAAACTGTAGCTGCCATTTCATCTAGGGAAAAACAGGTTAAGTTCTGTGATGGGGAAAGAAGGCAGTATCTGAGCGAGGTCCCACTGTACCCAAGTAGCTTGGCAGTCTTTGTATGTGTGTGGCACATAATGAATGCAGGCATGTGGTTTTCTTAATGTGTGCGCTGGGGATAAATTCAGGTAGAGCAAATGGTCTGCCATTTGGCTTACATGGTGTGCAGCTCTGTAGCTTACACATACATCATGGTACATGGCAGTGTGTGCATGTATATGTCATGTGTGGTGTGCCTGTGCATGCAATAAGCACATGTGTATGTGTGATATATGTGCTGTGTGTGCATGTAGGTTTGTTGTATGTGTGAGTATGATGTGTACATGTGGTCT